CAGCACCAACTGAAGCACCAACAGCTGCCCCAACAGAGGCACCAACAACTGCCCCAACAGAGGCACCAACAGCAGCCCCAACAGAGGTGCCAACAGCTGCCCCAGCAGCAGCACCAACTGAAGCACCAACAGCTGCCCCAGCAGAGGCACCAACAGCTGCCCCAACAGAGGCACCAACAGCAGCCCCAACAGAGGTGCCAACAGCTGCCCCAACAGAGTTGCCAACAGCTGCCCCAACAGAGGCACCAACAGCTGCCCCATCAGAGGCACCTACAACAGCCGCAATTGAAGCACCAACAGCTGCCCCAACAGAGGCACCAACAGCTGCCCCAACAGAGGTGCCAACAGCTGCCCCAACAGCTGCCCCATCAGAGGCAACTACAACAGCCCCAACTGAAGCACCAACAGCTGCCCCAACAGAGGCACCAACAGAGATACCAACAGAGGCACCAACAACTGCCCCAACAGAGTTGTCAACAGCTGCCCCAACAGAGGCACCAACAGCAGCCCCAACAGAGTTGCCAACAGCTGCCCCAACAGCAGCACCAACTGAAGCACCAACAGCTGCCGCAACAGAGGCACCAACAGCAGCCCCAACAGAGTGGCCAACAGCTGCCCCAACAGAATTGCCAACAGCTGGCCCAACAGCAGCCCCAACTGAAGCACCAACAACTGCCCCAACAGAGGCACCAACAGCTGCCCCAACAGAGGCACCAACAGAGATACCAACAGAGGCACCAACAGCTGCCCCAACAGAATTGCCAACAGCTGCTCCAACAGCAGCACCAACTGAAGCACCAACAGCCCAACAGAGGCACCAACAGCTGCCCCAACAGCAGCACCAACTGAAGCACCAACAGCTGCCCCAACAGCAGCACCAACAACTGCCCCAACGAAGGCACCAACAGCAGCCCCAACAGAGTTGCCAACAGCTGCCCCAACAGCAGCACCAAGTGAAGCACCAACAGCTGCCCCAACAGAGGCACCAACAGAGGCACCAACAGAATTGCCAACAGCTGCCCCAACTGAAGCACCAACAGAGATACCAACAGAGGCACCAACAGAGGCACCAACAGAGATACCAACAGAGGCACCAACAGCAGCCCCAACAGAGTTGCCAACAGCTGCCCCAACAGCAGCCCCAACTGAAGCACCAACAGCTGCCCCAACAGAAGTAGCAACAGAAGCACCCACAGCAGCAGGGACAACACAGACAACAGCTCCGCCAACACGCACAAAACCAACTCGGACAAAACCAACTCAGATAAAACCAACTCGGACAAAACCAACTCAGACAAAACCAACTCGGACAACATCTCAGACAAGATGGACAAAGACAAAATGGACAACAACTCAGAAAGCTCCTCCTTCAAAACCATTGTTATATTTTGCTAATGGTAAGTTCTGCTCTGACCCAAGCCCCAAACTTTTCCAGGAGATCCCTAACCTGACATAGAAATGCTACTGGGAGGAAGGATAGTAGTATGTACTGGACAGTGGGAGGTGATTATCTGTGGAGTAGGTGCTGAGGTCTGGTGTGGGACCTGTTTGAGGCCAATTAGGTAGAGAAAGAGAAAGGTTATCTATCTGGAATGAGGCAATATGGCCCCTTCCCCAATTTTTATAAGCATTTCCAGCAGGGAGGGAGGTGAAACCATCCCGATCAATAATGTCCAGGAGTGTGTCTACAGTCACCAAACCATGACAACATAGCACATTGCTACCATAGGTTTTGACTCAGATAATCTAGGTGCAAGTTTTGGCTGTGCTAATTAGGACTTGTGTGATTTTAAGTTATTTAAATTATTTCCCACTTGGGCCTCAGTACTTCATCATACATGTGGGGGTTGTGTTATGGAGCCAATTTGGTGAAATAGAAAGACCGGTATATTTGGATCACTGGATAAAATCTGAGTTCAAATCTTGGTATTATACCTTACTCCCCCTATGATCTTGAGCAAGTCATGGAATATCAGTTCCTTATCAGTATGATAAGAGGACTGGATAAGATGGTCTCAAAGGTCCTTTCTAAAATTACATTTGGTCACATTCAACTGGAGGTGTAAGCTGGTTGCTGCTTGATAACCCATGGCTGCCACCAGACACCATAACCTCTCTCTCAGAGAAAGCTGTATTGTTCTTGGGACCTAGTTCTACTTTAGTCTCAGTTCTGTCCTTATCAGACTTGAAGGCCAAGCATTCTCTAACCCCTTTACACACCTTTGGGTATTTGCCTCAACTATTAGAAGAACAGTGTTGACACCTTTAATTTCTGTGTCATCACCATTTTAATCTTTTTTCTTTCCTCACTCTGAACTATCAATCTCCCCCGGGGCAACAGTAGCTGTGAAGGGAATAGGAATGTCCTCTTTTCCATTCATAATGATCCCTAATCTAGGAGCACAGGCTGCATGAGAAACAGGCTCACCTGTACTTGGCAGTTAACAAGGCAACTCAACAGAGACTAAGTATCAGCTCTGTGTAAGGTTCTATGTTCAGTGCTGGGGGTTACAAAACTGAGGCAGCACCTCCCCTCCCACTAGGAAGGATCACACACTCATATATGAAAAAGGAGCATACAAAATAGGATATAATGAGGGTAAAGCTGAGATCCAGACTAAGAGCTCTGGGAAATACTGAAGAGTTGAACATCACCTGCACTGGGCAGAATCAGGGAAGATTTCCATTGAGGTCAGACTTGAAGAAAGAGAATGAACCACTAACTACACAGGAAATGGAGACAACTGGGGACTGGGTGGGGAGTGGGAGTCCATTCCAGTCATAAATATTTTATTGATCTTTTGCTCTGGGTCCAGTTCCTAGGGAGGTGCTGTGGGGGTGGGAGTAGGAGAGAATGTCAAGCCATATTCTACCTTTGGGGGGCTCACAGTGTGTATTTGTGACTGGGGGAAGTGTAGGAAACAAAACAGTCCTGCCCAGGGCAGAAGGAGCTCAGTAGGCTCTACAGGAATATCAGCTAAGTGATAAGAAAATTCTGTGGCTCTTGGACACAAAACCTAAGCAAGGATCCATGTGGGATCTCTTAGATGAGGGTCCAACCTGACTCTGAAGGAGCTAGATTTGTTGGATGTTATCAGTGTCGTAAAATGGCTGGAAGGGACCAGAAAGGCTCTAGAGTCCAAATCCATCATTATAGAGATGCAGATACTCAGGCATTAGAGATGCTTAAAGACTTGCCCTGACTCACATGAATAGTAAGCTTCCCAGATGAGATTGGAACCCAGGTCTTCTGAGTCCTAAGTTTGTGCTCTTTCTATTGAGTTATACTCGCTCCCTAAATAAAGGGGTGATGTCAGCTAAATTGAAGAGATGACACTGGGCAGGGTAAGCATTGGGATAACTGTTGTCAATTCTGAGAAGTCAGTAAAGTGTGCAAAACCTCTTCCTCTTTCTAAACCTCTTTTTGAAGTTCTCTCCTCTTTGTAGCCTCCTAGATATTCTGAGCCTTCAGATTATCTGGACGAAATCAATTGACAGATTCCTTGATATTGAGATTTGATCCTTCCCTTACCATTTGCATTTCAAAGGATGACATTTCAGACAACAGTTCAAAATTGGAATGCTTGTAACAAAGGGAGGTAGGATTTAGGAAAAGGGAGGAACTTGATGTAGAAATTGGGGGCGCTGTGGTTGGTTGGAGGGCTTTTCTGCAGGCAAGAATGGTTTTCCAAACTATGCCAATAACTCTTAGCAGTTCACAACACTCCTTAATGGACAAGACCAACTATTTATAAATTATTAATCCAATCCCATCATAGTGCAGATGAAAAAGCTAGGGACCAGAGGGGGAATTTATCATGTGGATAGGAAGAAGCGAGCAAAGCTGTGATTCAAACCCAGGTCCTCTGACTCCAATCCAAAGCAGTGTCACAACGTCAAACTTTCCATCTTCTTCATCGCAAATGAGTCAAACCAAGGTCTCAAAGATTCTTTTCTCCCCCTACAGATGTACAAAGTTTCTTGTTGAAAGAGAATATTCCATGGGCTATACAAAAGCTTTTCATAAAAACTGTGAAGAACCCACCAGCACATCTTAAACACCTACTAAAACCACTGCAAAAAGTGTTATCTTCTACTGCGTGAGTCCTCCCCTCGCTAACAAAGTTGGTCTCAAATCCAAGTGCAAGAATCAGACCGTTACAGGCAAAGATTTGAATGATGTCAGTGAAGCCGATAGAGGATTAGATGGGCAGAGTGGAGGGGGATGTAGGCTGGGAACTTTGTAGGAAAGAGAACTGGAGGGAGGACCTTTCTGCTTCTCCAGTGAGGTCCACATAAGTGGGGATGTGGGAGTGGAAGGGAAAAGGGTATGATGAGGTGGAAGAGATAGCAACCAAGGTAGGGGGCACCAAACAGAAGTTTAAAACTTCATTTAAGAGTGGAGAAGGAATCTTAGATAAAAAAAAATACCAAATACTCTTATGCATTGTGCTAAAGCTGTGATGAAGAGGAATATAACATCCTTTGAAAAACCTAGAGTAAAATCATAGCCTGGACGTACATACACTGTTCTAAGAACACATTCTAAGAAGAATGGAGAAAAGACAGTGATTCTCTTGAATCTTCTGTGACTCCTGGTCCATTGCCCTGACTAGTCTGGCACCTTCAGAGTCAGGTTGGACCCTCATCTAAGAGATTCCATATAGTTCTTTGTTTAGGTTTCGTGTCCAAGAGCCACAGAATTTTCTTATCCCTTAGCTGATATTCCTGTTGAGCCCACTGAGCTCCTTCTGTGTTGGGCAAGACTTCTTGCCTCCCATACCTCCCCCAGTCACAAATACACACTGTGAACTCCCCAAAGGCAGAATATGAGGCTTAACATTCTCTTACTCCCACCCCGACAGGACCTCCCTAGGAACTGGACCCAGAGCAAAAGATCAATAAGCACTAAATTGATGAATTCATTGATAACAAAAAATATAAGTGGGAGTCAATAATAAAGGGGAGGAAATTATGCTGCTGCTCTGATGACAGAAACCTCCAGGCATCCAAGGGGCAACTCTAATGTGGAGGAATGAGCCTTGAATAAGAATCATGAAGACAAGTGATCCAATTTCTTGTAACTCACTGTGTCTGGGGGATTGGCTAAATTGTTAAACCTCTGTAAACCTAAACCAGAAACCTGTTTTCTTTGTCATGAAAAGGACCAGATGAGAAGACAGGTGACCTGCCATTCATGCCTCTCACTGATCCATGTTCTTAGAATAAGATTTCATGGCTATCTGGTCACATCTCCGTTGGACAGTTTTGCAAACCACAAAGGATATGGAGGAGAGGATCTTCTGATTATATCAGATCATGCCTCTATTTCCCATGGTTGTCAGAATCTTCCAGAATAGACATCAAGCCATGCAGTGAGAAGGGTCAATCAAACTGAAGGCCAATGTCAAGGTTCAAAATCTATAGGTCATTTAGATGAAAAACATCTTCCCTACCCTCACAGTACCCTTCCCTAAGTAAAGAGGAGTGGTGTAGGGGAATGGTTTAATTGGGGTTCAAGATATATTGACACAAGAGTTTAGGGTCTTTAAACAATATCACTTGTTGACATCTCTCCTTCAATGTGATTTCTCTGTGCAGGATAAAACTTCTCACCCTCAGTAGTGATGCCAAACAAAGTAAAGATAGGCATCAACAAAATACATATGCCAGAACAGTTTTGGATGTAAACATAAAAACGTGAGTGATCTGTGAACCTTGCGTAAGGTGTGGGGGTGGGGGTGGAAAGAGACAGGTATTCACATGAAGGAACCAGATTCGCATGATTCCAATGTTTCCCAACCTTATCCAACATGAGGGAGTTGATGAGTAGGCAAGGGAAAGGGAAGGACACCCACTGCCTCATTGTAGCTCTCCTGGGCCTTTAACTCACTGGAGACATAAGGCTGTCCCTGGATGACTAGGGACACCAGTCATGGACAGCCCTGAGATATGTAAAAGTCTCTTCCTTCCCTTTCTGGACACAGTGTTCCTTCTTCTTCTAGTCTCTTCCTGTCTTGATTACAATCCTCTTTATATTTGGAATCTCCCGGTGACAGCCTGAGGCCATAGCCCCTTTCTGACTTTCCAATCCTTTAGGGCACTCCCACAGACCCATTCACACAATTCTGAGACAGGAGTAGCTGAGCCTCAGTTTCGTGTTTACCAGTTCTGGCATTCGTGAATAATCACACTCTGCCTGACCTTCTTCACAGAATTATTGGGAGAGAAGTGTTTTATAAATTGAGAATCACCACAGAAGAATGAAGAATTATCATTATTAATATTATTCCTGTGAGCTTATTCTTTTCATCTTTTAAAAAAATTCTACAAAGTGATACTTACTTTGATGTTTACTCTAGAACAGAAGTATAAAGATTTCCCACCCAAAAAAACCTCGGTGGCACACACATACCCCACACTAATTCAATCAAAAGTGAGCTCATATTTAGTAAAGCTTCTAATCTCATAAAGTTCTTATCCAAAAGTGATATTGCTTCTAGATGAAGCTCATTCTCGGCTGTGGCTGAGCTGGGTTCCAAAAGTTGTTCCTTGCTCCTCAGCACATTGATGCTGAGCTGGCTTCAAAACCCAGCACGGACTTAACATCAAGACTCTTGGACTTCCAGATTCCTAAAGTCTAGGACTCCAAATCAGTTTTCTCTTGACCTTTATTTGTTTTAATTAGCCTATATCCACCTTCTCACCCTCCCACCTCAACTCCCCACCCCCAATTGAGAATACAAGAAAAAACAATTAAAAACATGTATATTCAATCAAAGCAAATTTCCACATTGGCCATGTCAAAAAAAAATTGTCTCCTACATTCTGTCTTCTCATGTTTTTTGATGAGATTCAGACAGAAAGGATCAAGATGCTACTATCTTGCGTTTCTTCTTTTATATTTCATACTCTGAAGACTTGTTCAGGAGTATAAGTAACTATTCTTTGCAATCAAATAAGAGTGTTAATGTTACTCTTATCTCATTCTCCTCATATTATCATTATTGTTATTATTTTCCTGGTGATAACTCATTTTCTGGCTTGTATTGTGCCACAGGGTTTGGGATTGGCTTTGTATCTTTCTTGCCCCAGTGAAGGGGAGGGAGTATGATATAGAAAAATGTTTGCTCTGTAATACTGAACAACTTGTTTACCCTTTCTTATCCCTGTTTCATTTCTGCAAAATGGAGGTAATAGTGCTATGCCTGTTAAGTATTCAAGTCTCTTATGAAAATCAAATGAAGCAATGTTCATGAAAGCATTTTGGAAAGCCTGAGGTGCTTAAAAAGACCAAGTTTCACTATGAGTAAATACGAATATGGCCACTGTTCATTACTGCATTCCTGGATTTCAGTTTTCCATTTGCCCTCCTCTCTTATAGTTTACAACCCTTTTTGTGACTAGAATCTCCTGGTTACAGCCTGAGACTATAGCCCTTTTCTGACTTTTTAGTTCTTAGGACTTTCCCAGAGGCTTACTTATAAAATTTTGAGGCAGGAGTAGCTAAACCTCAGTTTCCTGTTCTGGCAAATGTGGATAATCATATTTGTCTGACCTATTTCACAGAGTTCGTGTAAGAAAATGGATTTACTGTCCATTTCCATGATGGGAGGGACTCTGAAAACAATGAGGTTTTTTCCTATCCATATCCTTTTAGATCTCCTGGAACATTTACTGCTGAGGTAAACCTGGTAAGCAAATGTGTCATTGGATCGCTGCTGAACAAGAAAGGAACACCTCACCTGGCCCTTGAGCGTTGTGAAACTTCCCTTGGACTTATTAAAGTTAAGAAAATGTGAGTCAACAAAAAGGTCTATGGCTCCCATGGTAGTAGTGAATTCCTATGCATGGCGGGGATGGTTATTTATTACTACTCTTTTGACCTACTTCAGTCCATTGTTAAAAAAAGGGATGGAACACTGTCCTAGATGACAACAGACCTGGGTTTACTTGCTGTCTGTGATTTAGAAACATGGAAGGTCTCAACGTATAGTTGGGGAGATAGGTCTTTCCTAGTTCAGTTAAGGAAAGCTTCCAGTAAGAAGTATATACTATGAATTATGGAATGGGAGAATTAAGGAAAGGGGTGAGATGTATATGGGGAACACGGCTGAAGGAATGGCATGGACCAGGCCAGAGGCTGAGATGACGGATTTCAATGTTGGGATGGAGAATTTATAATCCAAATGAGATATGTATATCTACAGGGAACTGAAATTAAATATAAGGCTAGTGTAAGGGGAGAGGGGAGAGTTAAGCAATAGCAACTGTTCTTTGAATTGATGGAAAGGTCTGGGATGGTGGAAAAAATGATGACTTGAAAGTCATAAGCCCTGCATTCTTCCTCACAGCTCTATCATTTCTTTTCCATTGGACCTTATATCTCTGCAAGCCTGATTGTACGTCTATAAAATAAGGACAACTTTTGCCCTGTCACACAGATATCATGAACATTCTGAATTAAGTCACACAGAAGAAAGTGCTTTATCACTATCAAGACTTTTCTTAACCTGAGAGATTGTTATTAGCATACATAGATTTCTCTTCCTTACTTTCTTCTTCAGTATGAGACATGGATATGAGCCACCTCCTATCAGATTGTGAGCTCTGTGGGTGCAGGACCCAGAAGAGTTCTCTGAACACTGTAGGAATTTCATAAACATTTGTTGAACATAAGAATATAGTTTATCTGGGACTCAGAGGCTAGGGTTTTAGACTTCTGGAACAATCATTCTGCTCTATCTGGGGAGGCCTTGATAGCAGGTCCTGTTCTTCAAAACACTCAGCCCCAAAGACAGCATGGAATATATCATCACACTGTTTCCACTCCCACTACATGCAGATCACTCCTTTCAGGGAAACAGTGAGCAATAATAGAAAGGGCACTAGATAAAAAAAAAAGTGCACTAGATCCAGCATCTCATAAGGTGGGTCCAGTCCTAGTTCTCCTACTTACCATCTGTGTGCCCATGGATGAGCTACTTAATCTTAGTTTCTTCATCTGTAAAACAAAGGGGAATTGCTTGAATTCAATTCAAATCATTCATTAAACTCTTCCTATATGTCAGGGTTTGGCTTGGACTAAATCATCTTAACTATCCTTTACAATTTTAAACCCTATTACAAATATTTCTAGTCATGCAAAACAGCTTTCCTCATTAGCCATGTTCCAAAAAAAAAAATCAAAAGAAATAAGGAGAAAAAAATATGCTTCAATCTGCCCTCTGAGTCCATCAGTTCTCTATTTAGAAATGGATGGTATGCTTTATCATGAGTCTCTGAGAAATGTTGTTGACCATTGTATTGATCAGCATGACTAAGTCTTTCAAAGTTGATTATCTTTGCAATATTGTTGTTACTGTATAGATTGTTCTCTCAGTTCTTCTCACTTCACTTTGCATCAGTTCATGCAGGTCTTCCAAGGCTTTTCTGAAACCAGACCCTTCATCATTTCTTATAGTGCATTAGTATTCTGTCACATTCACATAACACAACTTGTTCAGCTATTCCTCAATTGATGGGCATCCTCTCAGTTTCCAATTCTTTACCACCACAAAAAGAGCTGCCATAAGTATTTTTGAACATATGGGTCTTTTTTCCTTTCTCTTTCAGGACAAACAGGAAAAGACCTATTAATCGAATACCAAATGCCCTGAAACAGACTCTTCCTTCTGTGGCAAATCAAACAGTAAGTGTGGAGATGCAATTCCTTCTGGGTACAGAAAGTCAGAATGCTAGGTATCAGCAGTGTAAAGAGGCCTAGACTAGCAGTTCAAAGTCTAGGGAACTGGCCTAGGCTTGCTGTGTGAATTTGTGTGAGCCCCTTCCTTTCTCTAAAATTGTGGAGGGTTGAAAAACATCCTATCTAAGATTCCTTCCAGTTCTGGCATACACCTTGTGTGCTGTCTTACTTATGAGATCAGACTGAGCCAAGCATTCATAGGTATGTTAGGACCATAGATCAACTCCCAGATCAGGTATGTCTGGTAGTGACCCCTCTTGGGATCTTCACTTGATCACCTCACATTCATCCATCCCCCCATGCTTATGTTTCAGCTCTACCAATTGATGAAAACTTTCTTAAAATCAGTAGATTCTACACTGCAAGATTTCATAGCCAGTAAGTATGTGCTCTCAGCAATCTCTTTCCTCCATCTATAAATGGCTGTTTCCCAGCCATTTGCTTTTTTTTTGCCATTGTTACACTGGAAGTTTAAGTATTTCATAAGAAGACCAAATAGATATCTTGGCTGCTAAATGTTAAGATCTGCTTCTAGTTCTAATCTGGGACCATCCTCTATGGAATGACTAAGTATTAAGTCAAAGCTTTAGCTACATAATGGCTCTTGAGTTTGCTTGGAATTTCCTGCCTCAGAGGTGCCACTCTTCTCACATCCAATGGGTTGGGCACAGTCCGTGATATTCAATGGTTCCCTGTGCTATGGTACTAGATTATCACTTGCTCTCTAGTATTATGCCTTTCCCAAAATTGAATGAGTGATGGCTCAAACAAATGAATGAAAGAATCAGTCAATCAATGAAGTGAGCAGATGAATACATTTGGGGGATGCTAATGCCCCAACCAGATAGAAGTCTGTCCAACCATATCCTCTGCATTCCTCCTTTCATGAAACCAAGTTATCTTTCATCAGAACCACCAGACAGAGAACAGGATGAATAGCAGCTCTTTAGAGTCCCTCAGTCCTATCTCCTAGTGCCCCTCAATCCTGTTCTCCATCTTCCAATGTTAGAATTTGGTGGAAGTCACCACCAGGACCTCTAATTTTTCTTGATTACTATTATTGAGACACATGCTCTTTCTTTCAGGGCAACTATACTCGGGGGATCAGATTCCTTCCTAAACCTCCAATGGAAGGACAACAAGCTTTTCCCCTCAAAATAGGTAAGTGCTATATTTTCCTTTAATTTACCAAGTTTGCAGAGAATTTTTCTGGAATAGGAGAATCCTAGAACCTAAAATACCAAATCCTAGAATCTGGATCAAAGCATCCCAGAGTCTCAAAGCTACAGAAGATCTCAGAAAAGATACCAGACCAACATTCCCCTAAAGCAGGAATCTCATGCTCTACAGTAGCTCCAATAGATAAAAACTTGAAACTTAGGATATTGGGGGAGAGAAAAAAAATTGGAATAAAAGTCAAGATCAAAATTTAAAAAAAAACATGGAGATTTTCCCCTCCCTCTTGGTCTCAGTCTCCCTTACAACATGATATTGCTCATCTGGGAAGTATTTAGGCCAAGGGCAAAAAAGCACCCATAATGACCCATTCAGAGTAGAAAGATCTCTGAAGTAGGAATCAGGAACCCTAGGTTCTAATTCTAACTCTACCCCTCCCCGGTTATGTGACTTTGGGGAAGTGCCTTTTCCTCTCCGTATCTCAATTTCTTCCCCAGTAAATTGAGTAGGCTGGACTAGATGCTCTCAATGGGTCCTTCCAGTTCTCATGCTCTATGTTCTAGGCCCTTTCTAGTATTGATAATCTGTTTTCTGAGGTCTTGACTACTTCTACTATTCTAACAAAGTATTCTAGGTATGTATGTGTGTCTGCTCTGATTCTGATCCTTGCAGTCTTTTTTTTCCAACCTCAGTAGGTTCTATTCTCAGTTTGAGGACAGGTGGGTGGTATCTGGGTGGAATCAGGAAGGAATGGTAGGTGGGGTTGGAGGAGAATGTGACAGAGAATCAAGACTTCCACTACTTTCAGTTCTTGGCCAGGGGAAGAAGATGGCAATCTACTGTGCTGAATTTTCTCCTGCTCCTCTCCTCCTGCTTGAAGGATCTCAAGGCCAAAGGACAAATTGCTGGATTCAGGGTCAAATGAGAGGAAATGTTTTCACTGTGCAGGGATCTTCCAGGCTTTCTTTTCCTGGGTTTGGAGATACTTTCCACACATGAAAATTGTCTCTGAATAGCATGTTACTTCCTCCCGATTTCTCTTATAATAAACTCCTGACTCTCTCAACATTAGTGGAGTGGTCATTGCTTGTTCTCCCTGCCACTGATCTAATTCCCTCAAGTTAGTAACAGTTGGGTGTGGGTATGTGTTTTTGTCATGTTGAAGCTCCCAAGGGCAAGGACTGAGCCCTGAGAGGAGTACACAGAATATGTTTTATCTCTCCCTGCAGGACTTCATTTATAAGTTATGGGTAGTGACCAATATAGAGTCATAACTAAGAATAATAGCCCTAAAGGCAAATTCACTTGGTGAAGGGCATATTGAATGTATGTATAATTCAGGTAATCTGGTGACCTAGAAGTAATTTGAGTTGAAGAGGCTGAGAAACTGGGAGGAAATCAAGTGGTTTCAGAATTCATAGTAATAGAAGTGGATAAAAAGACAGCAAGTTAGAGAATGGATTTATTGGAGGAGAGGGAGAGTAACCTCAAAAAATCCAATAATTATAGCAACATGAATCTGGAAAATATCAAGTGAATTGTAAAGAAAAAAAGTTGCTGAGTGACTATGGCAGAGGGAAAAGTGGCAGTAGGGGATGAGGAGCATGCCAACTCTTCACCTTGACCCTACTTCTCTAGTGTTTTGTTCCTGCAGGAATAAATAACCAGACTGGGAGAGGGTTTCAAAAGCTGTAGCTTCTTCAAGAAAAAGCCAAGCTTTAGTAAGCACTGGAAGTTAAGAGGAATGTGAGAAAAAGAGATCTAGGATGAAAGGAGATGTGTATCCTGCAGAGGATGGTTCCTGAGGACACAGTTTCCTTAAAATGGAAAGAAGAGCATAAGCACATGGGAGGGTTATGTGATGCGTAATTGATAATAACTGAGGAAAAAATCTGAGCTATATGATTTTTAGCACAATAGGCATAATAAACAGGTCAATGGACTCCTCAGTCAGTACAAAGACCTTGAATACAGAGACACGTTTTTTTGTATTAAAAACAATTCATCAAATAAGACCAATTAATTAGAAGAAAACCCTTAAACAGGATATAAAATTAGAGAATCTGATTTCTAATTGGAAGAAAGATTAGGAACTATCCAAGTTGGGAGGGGGGGAACAAACAGGTGCTATTCCCTAAAATCAAAAAAAGAGATGCCTCATTCCCCACAACATAGAAACAATAACTGACCAGAATGGGGCCAGTTTTCAGATAAGACATGTGGGTTGCTTGAGATGTATAACTGTGAGAAAATGCTTTGCATCAATCTTTGGATCTGACCTGTTTCTGGTCAGCATAACCTAGGTCTTTAATTAAAAGTCTCTAAGCATCAGATAGAGGTGGTCCAGCTTCCCAGTCATGTAGGGCGAGGTTCAAACAAGGCAATAAAGTCCTCTTACAATTCCCACAATTGAATAAAGTTTTCTCACAAAGCAGAAATTGTACTAGACCCATAATTAAATAGAAAGGAAACTAAACTAGATTCAGAATTGTCATAAGATGGAGCCAGTGCAGTTTACTCAATTGCCACAGTTAGGAATGTTTACTATGAAAGAAATGAAGACGGAAGCTGGCACTTACTGCCTTCATGCCTGACCTCTCTCCCACTCTTCTCAGCTGATCCTTGGCTTGCTGTGTGTTGAAGGTTTAAGTTGAGGCCAGGAGCCAAGCCCCTGCTTAATTGTTAGGAATTTTCCAAACTGGAGGCTCTAAGAAATTATGTATTTACTCATAACTTTGTTATTTTAATATAAATAGCAGAAGAAGGAGCTACAGGGACCACAGGGTCTATTATATTACTCTTAGGATTAAAAAAAGGTGAGTATTATGACAGAATATCACTGTTTAAACCTCTAAAGACCGGAAGAGTAGGGAGAAGACAGTGGCGATGACTATCAAACCACCAAATGCACCCTCCCAAGTGACACCCTTCATCTACTTGTGTTACACTTTAATACTTTTAGAGAATAAACTGAATCACTGTTTCATGATAAAGGCCACTAGAAACATAGTTATCAATCATATCAAGAAGTCGCTAGGAGACAGTGGTGTGATAAAGATGCTCTATACCAGCCAGAGGTGCCCACTTGAATAAAGAAAGTCATGGAGCTTATAAGTATTACCAAGGGGTTTTTAGAGTATTCTAAGAAATTTCTTTGGGCTACAAGGCTCACATTAAAATTCCAAGTCAAAGATAGAAAAATTATCTAATGGGGAACAAAAGAGAAGATAACATTTGTGGTGTTACATCAAGATAAATCAGTTAACATATATCTTCAGGGACTCAGAATGAAACAAATATGTTGCAAAATATGGAGACCCAAAGAAATAATTATGGAAACAAGGAATAATTATAACCAATTACATTCCACAGATTGTTAGAATTTCTTATCACTGGAACACAAAACTTTTTTTAATGTTAAAAATTGTTTTAACATGTAATTGGGAAAAATAAAATATTGAATATATCAAGTGGGAAAAAAAGTGATTTCTTGGTACGTTTTTGCGGATGCTAGCATTCACATACTGGCTATTAATCTTGAACAAGAGCTGATAGCTAACATAATGGCTAGCATATACTAGGCACTTAATAAATGTTGACTAACTACCTTAGAAGTTAGAGCCTACAAGATGTGGAACTGATATGTGAATCTATGAACAACTTGTCTCATACTCTGGAGAGTCAGGGATTGTTTCTTATATCATCCTTGTATTCCCAATGCATAATGCTTCCCAAATGTTTCTTGGATTAAGTTGGATTGAATTGTAAAGTAAAGAGATTACCATGGCAACAGTGGAATTTCCTGTAAATTGACCCTTTAATGGGGAAAGAATTGGGAAGTACCAAATAAAACCATAATGCATAAGAGACTTGGAGGAACACATCCCAATTAACCATTACTCCCCAGGCCCCCTCTTTGCCTTCTTGTGACTTAGCAGGGAGATTAGGGGAGAGGGGAGATAGTTATGCACAGAAATGCCCAAATAAGGAGAGCTTCCTCAGGTCCCACCCCCTCAGCCTTCACCCCACCCCTACCCCCAACCATGAAGCAGATTTTTCCTAGTCTCAGTTTTCCTTACCTATTTCTAATTTGAAGTGCTGCTGAGTACAAAGGTGTCTCTCAGCTCTGGACTCATGCATGTGTTAACCACCCTGGGGGAATCTGGCCTCTAATAAAAAAAGGTTAGTCTTTTCCTTGCATTTTTGGGTCTTCTCCATCAGAACAAAACACTAGGAACACATGTGGGACTGGTGTTCCCTCCAGATTCATGTTGGGGCAAGTCCCAATATCTGGGGCTCTCATGACAAGAATTAGGGACCTGGGGTCAACTGGAAGTCATCCCCTCACACTCAGGGAAAAAAATAAACACTTCTAGGTGGAAATTCTTCTTGTAACATATAGGGCAATCATATATTTCCCTAATTGGGTCCCCCACCAATTCCTAGAAGGAAGGATATTGGACAAAATCTCTCAATACATAGAGCACCCCACTTTTCTAAAATGTATCCCTGTAAATCCATGGATCAATGTAGGTTTGAATTCACCTAAATATAGGTCAAGAGGACTTAATTCAGAAATAAAGAAAACAAACTCAGGTAAGCCCTAAACATATATAGGACTTCCCTAAAAAGAAATCAAACACTTGGTGTTGGTTTAAATTCAACCTCTCATATCCTGGACAAAATCCTACATCTAACAATTTGAACTAATATGGACCTAGGTCAAGGTGCTATGGCACAGAGCCATAAAAGGGATCATTTTAGCTGCTCTAGATTTAGACATAAAATACTCAGGCTCAGTCCCAGAAGAGTCTGGATGAGTGAGTTTAGTCAATTTTTCTCACACTTCGGCTCTTTTCACTCAAACCTGGGGAAAATTTACTTTAAGCTTAGATTTGAGCTCACATCTAGGGTCTCCCAAAAGAAGCAAGTAGAAAGGCTCTCAATGTACATTATGAATCAATACACCTTCTCACTTATTCATACCATGTGTTTCTGACTGCAAAGTTTTATAGCAAACAATTGATAATTAATTGATAACAATTGGGGATGAGTGAGGGACTAGCCAATGAGGGTCCAGTCATTAGAACATGTATAGTGGTTTTTACTTTTTGCCAACCAACAAGGGAGGTTGATAAGCCTGCTCCAGAAATGCATAATGGAGAGAACCTTACTCAATTTAGAGGATGCACAGGTATCCTGACTATCTATCTCTTGTCAGCTTACTTCATAGTGAAGGAAAACCTTTTCTTTTCTTTTTGGCTAGGCAATGAGGCTAAGTGACTTGCCCAGGGTCACACAGCTAATAAGTGTTATGTGTCTGAGGCTGGATTTGAACTCAGGTCCTCCTGACTCCAAGGCTGGAGCTCTATCCACTGTGCCACCTAGCTGCCCCAGGAAAGCCTTTTAATTGGCTGCTAAGCTGGAACTGAGTGGGCATACAAAAAGGCATATCAGATGAAATCTCTCTCTTCCCTGGTGTATGACAACGCAAAACTGCTCCCTCCTCCAGGCTGCCAGAGGCTTCAATTCTGAGTCCTGAAATGGTTGGCTGCATTTTAGAAGACCTACAGGGTCTATGATCTTAGGATTCCATGTTCCCCTAGGTAGTAATAGCACTGACCTGCTCTTTATCCCATATATACTTCTTTTTAAAAGCTTTTTTAAGATATAATTTTTAATGAACAAAAATATATTTTCTCTCCCTTTCAGTTCCCCCTCAAAAAAAAAAATACAAAGCCCTTGTAACACATATACATAGTCAAGCAAAGCAATCTCTACATTGGCCTTGTCCACAAAATAAACTGATACACATTTCTAATGGGAGATTTTCAGGAGGCATTTAAGTGAACTTGATAATTTTTGGAAGAAGATGGAAAGGCAGAGATAGTTGTAATTTAGCTGGGCCCTCAAGAAAAGGAAACCTTGAGTAATTGCTAAGAATTTTCAGAGACATTCAGGTGATAATATCCTAGCTTAGCTGTCCCTTTCAATTCTGAAGTCTTCAAAAAGGAGGCCTTCCCTGCTCCAACTCCTGGGTCACCTGTCAGAGGTCTTCTCCCAAACCC